CGGACGATGATGATGCTGATGCTGATGATGATGATGATGAGGATGATGCTGCCGACGATGATGATGATGACGAGGATGATGCTGATGATGATGAGGATGCTGGTGATTATGTTGATGCTGATGATGATGATGATGATGATGATGATGATGATGATGCTGATGATGATGATGATGATGATGATGATGATGATGATGAAAATAATGATATCGAGGTGGATGCTGATGCTGCCGCTGCCTGTGATGATGACGGTGATGGTAACGATAATGATGGGGATGATGATGAGAGGACGTACGAGGGAGGAGGAGGAAGAAGAGGAGGAAGAGGAGCAGGAGGTCGAGGAGGAGGACGACGGAGGATGTGGAGGAGCACGAAGAAGGGAAGGATGAGGAAGATGATGGTGATGATGTTGATGATGCTGATGAGGCTGATAATGAGGCTGCTGCTGATGATGGTGTTGGTGATGATGAAATTACGGTTACCATTATGAATCTGGTGATTAGGGTGAGGATGTCGACGATGATTCCGATGCCAACGATGCTGCTGCTGGTGATGATGGTCATGCTGATGCTACGGATGAGTACGATGTTGATGATGATGACAATGATGTCGATTGTGGTGTTGGTGATAACGATGGTGCTGATAATAATGCTACTGATGCTGATGGCGGTGATGTTGTTGATGATGGTCATAACGACGATTATGATGATGATGACGACGACGACGATGATGCTGGCGATGACGACGTCGATGACCAGGACGATGACGATGATGATGACGACGATTATGATGAGGATGCTGATGATGATGATGATGATGATGAGGCTGATTATGCTGATGATGCTGGTGAGGATGATGATGGTAATGCTGAAGTTGCTTGTGTTGCTGCTGATGATGATGCTGATAATGGTAATGATTGTGATGATGCTGCTGATGATGGTGATGATGCTGATGCTGATGCTGAGGCTGATGATGATGCCGATGCTGATGATGGTGACGATGGTGATGATAATGATGATGGTGATGCTGCTGCTGCTGATGATGCTGATGATGATGATGATGATGATGATGATGATGATGGTGATGGTGCTGATGATGGTTGTGGTGGTGGCTGCTGCTGCTGCTGCTCAGAAGGAGAAGGTGCAGGAGGCGGAGGCGGAGGGGGATGAGGATGCTGATGCTGAGACGGAGAAGGGGAAGGCGAACGGAGGATGGGGAGGAGGAGGACGATGCGGATGATGAGGAGCAGGCGGAGGATGTTGCTGATGCTGACGATGATGCTGATGATGCGGCTGATGCTGATTCTGATGATGATGATGCTGATGATGATGATGATGGTGGTGGTGGTGGTGGCAGTGGTGTTGATGATGCTGATGCTGATGCTGCTGATGCCGATGGAGATGCTGACGATGATGTTGATGCTGCTGCTTGTGACGTTGATGCCGAGGACGATGCCTTTGATGATGCTGATGTTGCTGATGATGATGCTGGTTATGCTGATGCTGATGCTGCTGCTGATGACTCTGATGCTGCTGATGATGATTGTGGTTGCCATGGTGATTCTGATGATACTGATGGTCCTGATGATGATGATGATGGTGGTGGTGCTGATATTGATGCGGCTGGTGATGCTGATGACGCTGATGGTAATGATGATGATGGTAATGTTAATTATGATGTGGATGCTGATGATGTTGCTGATGAATTCGTCGCTGCTAACGACGATGCTGGTGATGATAATGATTATGATCATGCTGATGATGCTCTCGCTAATCATGATGAAGAGGATGGCGATGCTGCTGATGCTGCTGATGGTAAGGGTGTTGTTGATGGTGTTGGTGATGGCGATGCTGCTGATGATGATGTTGCTGCTGGTGCTGATGTTGATGATGATACTGTTGTTGATCATGATGCTAATGATTATGCTGCGGATGCTGATGATGCTGATGATGCTGCTGATGATGGTGACGATGCTGATGATGCGGATGCGGATGCTGATGCTGATGCTGGTGTTGATGCTGATGACGATGATGCTCATGATTCTGATGGTACTGAATCCGTGGTTGGTGATGGTGATGCTGACGAGGATGACGATGACGATGACGATGACGACGATACGACGTGTTCCGACTTTCTAGTCTCGGGGGCCGCGCGGAGCTCGCCGCCGCCTTCGTTGATGTATCCGATGCTCGAGCTGGGGCTCGACTGGGAGCAAGTGGGTATTTTTGGCGATGAGGAGTGCGCCTGAGAAGGCTCCCCCGCGAAGTCCAAGCCGACTAGAGGGTACTAAATGGATCAGAGTCGCCTGGACAGGCGGGTTCTCATTCGTAGCATCGGCCATCGTGTGATCGTTGCCCCGAGCCCTATCAACTCACACATGTTCCTTTGCACGTTTTGCATGGTCCATCGCAGCGGAAGTTAAATCAACTGGCTGGGCCGAGTTGGGCCGCAAGTGCGGCCAGCCAGCTGGGACTGGTGTGAACATCGTACGGTGTCCAGGCCGTCATCTTGATACAGATCGGGTGGTATCTGCGATTGGCAAAT